TGTGAAACATCTGTGAAAAAAATTCAGGTGCTCAGGCATGAAAATGTGCTGCTCAAATACTATACTTGCACACACTGAAAAAAAATGAGAGGGAACATTGCTCCCAACAGAAATTTTATAATAAGATTTATAGGTCTTTTCCCTAATCCCCAAATATTAATTTATATCCAGTTTATTTTACTAATTAAGGTTATCATTTCATTGTTATTATCTTGAATAATTAGATGTTAACAAACTAAACATTTAGAATCGAAAACACTCTAAAAATGTTAACATTTCTGCTTAATAATCACCAAAAGTGTCCATTAACATTTCATTATTGTTATTATGGTTGAAAAAAAGGAAAAATGAATTGTTTACTATTTATATCACATCTCCTCTCTTCTGACCCAGATTAATTTACCTTCATAACAAGATCTAGACAAAGGGCACTTTTAAGAGGCTTTTTTAAACAGTTAAGCACTCAGCAGAGTTATCCATGGTGATTCTGGCAGCAACTACCTCAGCCCTTTTCCTTTTACATTTTTTTTTCATGATGCCTCCCCTGCCTCCCCTGACTGTATGTCCCTGACCTATTCATTGGCTGACCTTGTTACCATGTCTCTCCCAGTCATGAATATTTTAACAGATTAAACAGATGCTGAAGTGGAGATGCTGAGCAATGGAAGCATTTCCCAACCTTCACTAGCCTCCAGGAAGTACCTCCACCTGAAGGAAGCCCCCTTCCTTCAAGGCCATTCCCTCTGATCTCTGTAGCCTTAGAGGGGAGGGCCTTCCTTGGAGACAGTCCACTGTCTGGAGGTTGCTGAGGGAAGAAGGAAAGGCCTTGAAGGGCAAGAGGAAAAACTGCAAACTACAATGAAGGCAGCAGTCAGATTGGAGTGGGGGGACTGTTCAGCCTATACTAAGGAACTAGGCTCTTCCCTCCTTCACCTGAAGATAGGTAGAGGGGACGGGAAGTTCATTACATTAAAAGTAGTACTGATGTACTAGACATTCGTTTCTTACTTGGATCTACCCTGTCAGAGAAAGGCATTGAAGGACATGGGATGCCTTCTCCCTTGTCTATCAGAAAAGAAAGCAGTGTTTCATCTCCATTCCATATTTATCGTATCTCCATGTAGATCACATGAAATCATATAATATCTCATTTGTCTTCATATCTTTTCAAGTCTTCTTCTCCCTCCACTTCCCCACATTGGTGAAAAATCTATTTCTTGAAGTCCAACCCCCTCAGTCTCTCACCTGTTTCCTCCTTCAAGGCCAAGACCAGGGGCTCCTGCAAACCCTCGTGCTCCAGGTAACACTGAAAGCGGTCCCTCTCCTTGGGGTCAATCTCAATGCTGAGCTGGACATAATAGGTCCCATCTGAGTTGAGGGCCATGTTCCTTTGGACGGTCACATAATGGCAGACCTCTCCATCCCTCCTCCAAGTGGCCTGGATCTCCTTAGGGTAGAAGCCAAAGGCCTGGCAGACGAGGACCTCCAGGCTGTCATCCACCACCTTGCGAGTCACCTTCCCCACTGGAGGATCTGCAGGAAAAGCAACACTTGAGATTCTTGTAATTTTTAGTGTTCCTGCTCAGGTAATTCAATAGCCGGGAAGACCTCTTTTTGGTCATCCACAACCATTGTTCCCTTTGTTCTCCTGAGCCTGTGGGAGCCTCAGAGATGGAGGCATTTAAGGGGTTTAGATTTATTTTTGGAAAGGAATGCTCAGAATTCGGGTAAAGGTGCCACTTCAAAATAATTGTACTG